ATTTTTTCCCAATCTGTAGATTCTCTTTTGACTCTTTTGGAAAGGTCTTTGGAAGCACATAAAAATTTAATTTTTAGAAGGTCACATTCATCTAGTTTCTCTTCTGCTGTTTGTGCATTTTGGGTTATGCATGATAGTCTATTTATGCCATATATTAGGGCCCCTAAATTTGCCCCCAGTTCTTCCTTGAGGAACTTTATAGTTTAGGTTTCACATTTAAGTCTTTGATCCATCTGGAGTTAATTTTTGTGTATGGTGTGAGGTACAGATGTTCTTTCATTTTTCTTCAAATGAATATCCAGTTTTGCCAGCACCATTTATTAAACAGACAATCTCTTCTTCCTCATTTAATGGATTTTGGCCCTTTGTCAAAGATCAGTTGACCATAGGTCGATGGATCTATTTCTGGTTTCTCAATTCTGTTCCATTGGTCTATGTCATTGTACCAATCAATACTAGGCAGTTTTGACTACTGTGGCTGTATAGTAGGTTTTAAGATCCAGCAGTGTGTGACCTCCTGCTTTATTGTTCTTCAGTAATGCTTGGCTTGTCTGGGGTCTCTTTCCTTTCCACATAAATTTAGTGATTGGTTTTTTCATATCCTTAAAGAATGTTGATGAGGTGTGGATTGGAATTGCATTGAATGTACAGATTGCTTTAGATAGAATTGACAGTTTGACAATGTTCAATCTTTCTATCCATGAGCATAGTATGCTCTTCCATTTATGTAGACCTCTTATGGTTTCTTGAAGTAGTTTTTATAGTTTCCTTTGTACACATCTTTTTGTGTCCCTGGTAAGTTGGTAATACAAGTTTGAAGCCATTTTTATTTACTTATATTTTAATAATTTTGTCATTAAATATTCTCTTAATATGTGAACTTAGATTGCTTCCAATTTGCTGATATTACCCATGCTGCAATGTCTCTTTTTCATTCTCATTGCTCTTAATTTCTTTAGGAAACATATTTGAAAGTTAAATCACTGGGTCAAAGATAATGAGTATGCCTGAATTTTTATGAAAGGTATCATTTTATATTCCAAAGAACAAATATTGTTTTATTTCTTTAGGAGGAAAATGAAAT